ACACTCAATTGGGTATCTTACCCTACAGGAAAATAGGGGGTAAAGAGATAAGAGATCGGGAGATGACAGAATAGAGGGCAGATTAGGGGAGTAGGTAATCAGAAGCAAACACTTTTGAGGAGGGACAGGGTCAAAACAGAGAACAGAATAAACAGGACGTGGGATAGGATGAAGGGAAATATAGTTAGTTTTTTACAACATGACTACTATGGAAGTGTTTTACATGACTACACATGAGGGTGGGTAGGGACAGGAGAAAGGAAGAGAATTTGGAACCCAAAGTTTTAAAAACAAATGTTAAAAATTGTTTTTACATACAACTGGGAAATAAGATATACAGGCAATGGGGTATAGAAATCTAATAGAAGGGGAAAGGGATAAGAGAAGGGGGGGATGACAGAAGGTAGGGCAGATTAGGGGAAAGGGTATTCAGAATAGACGCCATCTTGGGGTTGGGGTAGGGGCAAGATAAGGAGAAAATTTGGAACTCAAAATCTTGTGGAAGTGAATGATGAAAATTAAAACTAAATAAATTAAATTAATAAAATAAAAAAAATCTAAGAAAGAGCAAATATTGGGCTTTTCTGAAACATGAATTATCATATACATAAAACAATTTTCTTTCTTAGAAAAGTCCTCAAATATACTACTACTTCAATACACACACACATACATCTGTACTACAAAAATCAATCAACAAATGTTTACTAAATATCTACTCTATATCTAGCATTGTGTTACATATACTTTTAGAGAGTTTACATTAAATATTTGGAAGATAAAACTTGTTGATTGCATTTATCATAAAGCAAATTAAGTCCTATCATTTTTCTCTCCCTTACTTTCTTTGATGCTTTTAAGATCATTGTAGTTTGTGATGAAAACTGTTGTCTATTTCATCAGATGTATAAAGAAGTCATATAAAAACTACAAGAAGTTGTAGACAAGAAGACACTCAATCTCTCTTCAGATCTCTGGCATATAAGCAAAGTGGGAAGGAGGAGGGAGAGTGTTAAGAGTTCCAACCTGGCTGATGACCACTAATATGTACTAACTCAAGTATTCCTTTCACCTTTTAGTTTCTGCTCTTCTCAGTCTCCTGGCTTCAAACTTACTTTTACTGGGCTCATAGTGAAGCCCTTGAAATCACTGATGTACCTCATGGCATGAAAGAAGACAGAAAGCTGAAAATAACAGCAAACTGAATAGGAGAGAAGTAAGTAGCCAGGTAGTAGAATAGGTGGACCTAGATGCAGGGAGACCTGAATTCAAATCCTGGCACACACCCACTAGCTATGTGATCCTGGGAAAGTCAACTAATCTTTATCTATCTTAGTTTCCTCAACTGCAAAATCAGGATAATAACAGCTCCCTCAAAGGTTTGTTTTGAGGATAAAGTGAAATAAAATTTGTAAAGTGTTTTTCAAACCTTTAATAGCTATATAAAGGTCAACCATTATCTAGGCCAGGGGTGGGGAACCTGCTGCCTCAAAACCACAGCAGCCTTCTAGGTGCTTGGGTGAGGCCTTTTGACGGAGTCCAAGTTTTACAGAAGAAATCCTTTTAGGGGATTTGCTCTTGAAGTTTGGATTCAGTCAAAGGGCTACATTTGAGGACCTAGAGAGTCACATGTGCCCTCAAGGCCACAGGTTCCCTACCCCTGATCTAGTCCAGCTGCCTACATTAAACAACAGAGGCCTGGAATGTTTAAGTAATTATTTGCCCAAGGACATACTGCTAATGTTTAGCAGAGCTCCACTAGATCACCTCAATGCCAAAGTCTGATGCTCTATCTATATACATTTCACTTACGATACCTTGAGTCAAATCATGAAATTTCATAGTGTGAAGGGTCGCTGGAGTTCCCTATGGGGAAAAGTGGAACTAAGATGGCCAGAGAACCACCACAGAGGTTATGCTGCCTATTTGTCTAGAGCAGAGGTTCTTAACCTGGGGTCCCTGAATCTTTTTTTTTTAATATACTGATAAATATTTCAATATAATCGGTTTCCTTTGCATTCCTAGGTGTTATTTAGTTTATGCATTAACAAACATTAAAAATACATACCCTGTGTGACCCTGGGCAAGTCATTTAACCCCAACTGCCTCACTAAAAAAAAAGCAAAAAAAAAGGTATCAAAAATACACACCCACACCCACACCCCTTGCTCCAGAGGCAGAACAGACTGCCAAAAGGATTCATGACACACAAAAAAAGTTAAGAATCCCTGGTGGAGAGATGGAAATAGGTCATTAATAACAGCCTATGATACTGGCTAAGAAATAAAGTGGTGGATCAGTAGAATAGGTTAGGTATGCAAGACACAACAGTCAATGACTATAGTAATCTACTATTTGATAAACCCAAAGACCCTAGTTTCTGGGATAAGAACTCACTATTTGACAAAAACTGCTGGGAAAACTGGAAATAGTATGGCAGAAACTAGGCATAGACCAAAATCTTACACCACATACCAAAATAAAGTCAAAATGTGTAAAGGATTTAGATATAAAGGCTGATACCACAAGGTAAACTGGGAGAGCAAGGAATCATTTACCTGTCAGATTTATGGAAAACAGAATTTATGACCAAACAAGAGATAGAGAACATTATGAAATGCAAAATGGATAATTTTGATTACATTAAATTGAAGTTTTTACACAAAGCCAATGTAACCAAGATAAGGAGGGAAGCAGAAAACTGGGAAATTTTTACAACTAGTATCTCTGATAAGGGCCTCATTTCTAAAATATGTAGAGAACTAAGTCAGATCTGTAAGAATACAAGTCATTCCCCAATTGATAAATGGCCCAAGGCAGCTTTCAGATGAAGAAATTAAAGTTATCTATAGTCATATAAAAAATGCTCTAAATCGCTATTGATTCTCTAATGCAATTCTCTAATATTGCAAACCACACCTATCAGACTGGCTAACATGACAAAACAGGAAAATGATAAATGTTGGAGAAGATGTAGGAAAATTGGAACACTAATGTATTATTGGTGGAGTTGTGAACTGATCCAACCATTTTGGAGAGCAATTTGGAACTATGTCCAAAGGGCTATAAAAATGTGCATAACCTTTGACCCAGCAACAGCACTTCTAGGGCTATATCCCAGAGATCATAAAAATGGGAAAAGGACCCATATGTACAAAAATATTTATAGCAACTCTTTTTGTGGTGGCCAAGAATTGTAAATTGAGGGGATGCCCATCAGTTGGGGAATGGCTGAACAAGTTGTGGTATATGAATATAATGGAATACTATTGTGCTATAAGAAATGATGAGCAGGCGGAATTCAGAAAAACTTGGAAAGACTTGTATGGAGTGATGCTGAGTGAAGTGAGCAGAACCAAGAGAACACTGTACACAGTAACAGCCATGTTGTGTGATGACTAACTTTGATAGACTTAGCTCTTCTCAGCAACACAAGGATCTAGGACATCTCTAAAAGTCTCATGAAGGAAAATGCTATCCACATCCAGAGAAAGAACTATGGAGTTTGAATGTGGATAGAAGCATAATATTTGCTTTTTCCCCCCTTCTGTTTTGTTTTGTTTCTTCTTTCTTGTGGTTCCCCCTATTGGTTCTAATTCTTCTTTACAACATGACTAACATGAAAATATGTTTAATAGGAATGTATATGTATACCCTGTATCAGATTGTATTCCACCCTGGGGAGGGAGGTGGGGAGGGAGAGGGAGAAAATTTAAAACTCAAAAGCTTATAGGAGTGATTGTTGAAAACTAAAAATAAATAAGTTTAACAAAATAACGGTGCACATTTATACAGCACTATACTGTTTTGGTCTTGTATGACTCTTTGTGATCCCATTTGGGGTTTTCTAGGCAAAGATACTGGAGTGGTTGGCAATTTCCTTCTCCCATAATTTTACAGATGAGGAAACAGGATTAAGTGATTTGACCAAGTTCACACAGCTAAGTGCCTGAGCCCAGATTTGAACTCTGAAAGATGAGTCTTCCTGACTCCAAGCCCAGCACTCTACCCACTGTGCAACTTAGCTGCCTTAAATGCTACATATACATAATCATATTTGATGCTCACAGCTACCTTGTGGAACAGGGGCTATAAGCACCACCACCACCATCCCCCATTTTACAAATGGGAAAACTGAGGTGGCCAGAGGTCGAGAGATTTGCCCCAGTTATGCAATTAGAAAGTAATTGAGGCCTCATTTGAACTCTGATCTTCCAGACTCCAGGTCCAGCAAGCTCATTCACTGAGCCACCCAGCCGCCTTTAACCATTTAATAATAGTAATTCACATTTATATAGCATTGTAAGATTTGCAAAGTGTTACCAAGCATTATGCTTGATGCTCACAGCTACCCTGAAGACAGAGGGTTTCTCTCAGCCTCTCCCAACTTCGCAAATGTGGAAAATGAGATTGGATCTTTGAACTCTGGTGTTCCTGACTCCTGGTCCAGCACTCGTATTGACTGAGCCACCTAGCTGCCTTTAACAATAATAACAATAACGTACACTGATATAGCACTGTAAGATTTGCAAACTCTTTGTTCCTTATATATGATCATACTTGATCCTCACAGGTGAGGCTTTCGTATTCATTTTACATATGGGAAAATCAAGGTTGAGTGATTTGCCTACTGTAGTTATGCAATTACTAAGTGATGGAGGCCACATCTGAATTCTGAATTCTGGTCTTTTAGGTCCAGCTCTCATCCACTGGGTCACCTAGCTGCCTTTAATAATAATGCATCTTAAATAGCACAGTAAAATTTGCAAAGCGTTCCTCATACATGAATATACCTAAACGTCACAGGTGGGGTTATCTTATCACACACACTCCCACCTCCCATTTTACAGAGGAAGAAACTGAGGTTCAGAGAGGTTCACACGTTCAGCAAGGGCGACAGAGAAAGCCCATTTCTTCGGGGCTGGAAAGGTGCGAGGGGAAACCCTGGGATGGGGGAGGGGGTATCCCGAGGAATGGGGGAGGGATTCCCCCTTCCCTACCTCCCGAATCGCGGCCAGCGTGTTCTCAGGGGCATCGTGGCCGCCACCGCGGTGGGCGATGGCAGAGATACGGCCGCGGGGCCTGAGCACCTGCAGGGCCCGGCGGCTGGGCACCGGCTCGAAGCTGAAGAAGCGCAGCAGCAGGTAGAAGCTGATGGTGAAGAGGCAGGAGTTGAAGGGGCTGCGGGTCAGGATCAGCAGCAGAACAAACAGGAAGGAGAAGGAGGCCAGTAGGCCCCCCTGCTCCTCCCACAGCCACATGTTGGGGCCGGCGCCGGCGCCCGCGCCGGCACCCGCAGCGTCCGGGACAGACCCGCCGGGCTCCCAGAAGAGAGAGAGGCTCGGGACAGCCAGACGATCGGAGCCGTCACCCGCAGAGGGCACCGGCGCGCACAATGGCGGGCCCGGGCACATCCGGAAAGGTAGCCTCCCAGCCGACCAATCAGCACCCCGGCGCTCCGGGGCATTCAAGGCGGGGCCACTGCTATAGCAACGGGACCCAGTGTGCAGGCTGGAGTTCAAGAGGAACTTCGATCTGACTCTACAGATGATTGCGGTCTCTATTTAACCTTTGCTACAGTCTGCAGGAGGGCCACTAGGTGGCGCAGTGGCTAAGGCGCTGGCCCAGGAGTTCAAATGTGGCCTCAAAAACCAAAATAGCTTGTGTGTGCAAGTTACTTAGCCCCTGCGTCAGTTTTCCTCATCTGCAAAAAGGGATGATAATAAAAGCACCTACCTCTCAGAGTTGCTGTGAGGATCAAATGAAATTACATTTGCAAAGCATTTTGCAAACATTAAAGCACTCTATAAACGGTCTGATTAAAGAAGTGGACATTGTGCAATCACACATACCATAAGGCACTTAAACTTCATATGGGAATGAAGCAAGTGGAATAGTTTTGGAAGACGGTTCTTCGGAAGCAGGGCATCACGGAAGAGCTAAGAGACCTGGGTTCAAGGGCTGCTTTGTCTTCTTTCTGTGCTTATTGTTTCCACTTTTTAATAAAATCCTCTTCCATCCTGAAAGCCTTAAGATGTTCTAAGGCTTGAAATGTTATCTATAAACCAGTTTGTTTACAGAGAAACGACCCTGGTGAATATAAAGTAATTTCCTTAGGAGAGATCTGATAGTATAAGAGAACTTGTTTTAAAATGCCATTTGTTACATCAATTCATTTGTTCATGGAACAGATCTTGGTTCTAGTTCTGGCTCTTCCATTCATTCATTTGGTGTATAACCTCGGTCAAATTGAACTCTCTGAATCCGTTTCCTCATTATTGGTAAAATAACTGCGTTCTGCTTGTCACTTATAGCTATGTGACCTTGCGCAAATCACTTGAACACTTAGGGCTTCTCTGGGAAGCAGGGAACGGTTCATACATCTGGGCGACTTGGACCAGCATTCGTGGCTATGTCGATGTTTTTAAAGCCCCAGTGATGCGTGGCCAGATTAATTTGATAGAAAGCACTGTAAGGTCCCTTCCAGCTTTGACTTGCATAACAGATGAGTTACTTCAGAATAGAGATTTCCCGCTTCTCCCAACCTCCTTTTTCTTGTGGAGTAGGGGGGAGAGCTTGCCTTTTGTGAGAACCACATATCCCAGGATGCAACGCTGCTCATCCAATCCCGGAGACCAGACCGGCGAGACGCGTAGGCCTTCGGGAGTTGTAGTTTTTAGTTGGGTAGCCCCAGAGCGGAGGCAGTCCTATTATACCCCAGTTGTCCGCCACCGGAAGTGCCTTGCCTGGGAGGCGGAGTGAGGGCGGTGGCGGCGGCAGCGGCGGCAACAGTGGTTGCCAGGTGCCGGCGTTGCCGCCTTGAAACCCGTAATATGGCGGGGAGGAGGAGGAGGAGACGGCGGCGGAGCGGACTGCGCTCTGTAGATACAGCCTGATCCCTTTGTCTCCTCCTGAGGTTGTGGAGGAAGAAAGAGAGAGTCCCAAGGGGCGCTGGGGGTTACAGAAGGAAAGTAAGTGGGCGCGTGGAGGGGGGGGAAGGGCGCTGGGGGCTTCGCACCGTGTCGGGGGCGGGGATGAGGCGGCGCCTGGGGCGAAGGAAAGCCGGCCGGCCCTCGAATGCGCTGCCTGGCCAGGCGGGGGATGGGGAGGCCAGGGTGCATTTGGGGTAGGTCAGGGGGCGATGATGATGATGATGATGATGATGATGATGATGCGGGGTAGATGGAACTGTGGGCGTGGACTAGACTGAGCTTAATGTTCCTTGGGAATGGGTGGGGTGGGGTGGGGGTGGGGTAAGGGGAAGATGAATGCTTGTGGGAAGCTTAGGGTGGGGAGCCTTTATACCCCTGATTAAAAAAAAAAAGACAGCTACAGAAACCAACACCCAATTCTTGTCAGTGCTGGAACTGCTAGTATTTCTTCAGCTGTGCTTGGGAGGGGACCTCCCTTGCTTTTCTGTAGAGTATGGCTCTGGCTTAGGGACCACTATTTATCAGTTAACTCTTTGTAGCAAGCTCATCTCTTCAATTTAGCTAGTGTTTGCTGAGTCCTTGGTGTTGCAAAGCTAAGGCTAGGCCTTGGACATTTAAAGAAAAAAAATGGGAAAAAAAGTGGCCCTGCTCTCAGGAAGTTTAATTTCTAATGGATGCAGCAATATGTAAACAGATGAGTAAATGTATGATAATAATTTGAGAAGGAAGAGTTCTGTGGCAAATGGATAGATCAGTCTAGGAAGTACCCGAGGTGAAAGAGGATAGGATTTCCTTAGGCTGGAGTGAGGTGGTGAATTGGGAAAGGAGGGTTTCCCTGCTTGAGAGCTGGAATTGGAATGCTGAGGTCAGGAAATAGCAAATAGGCTAGTTTGACTGAAAGTCAAAGATGAATAGGGTAAAAATGAGTCTAAAAAGGTAAGACTGTAACCAGGTTATGAAGAGCTTCAAAAATGCCTGGAGGCAGTAGGGAACCAGTTGAAGATTTTTGAGGAGGAGGTTGATGTAATCAGACTTATGTTTTAGGAATATTAATTTTGATGATGTAGAAGATGAATTGGAAGAAGGAGAGACTGGAAAAATAGAAACCAGTTGGGCTATTGTAGTTCAGATAAGAGGTGATGAGAGCTGATTCATTTGAGTGGAAGGGGGCAGATGTGAAGGGCTGTTGTGGAGTTAGTAAAATTGACAAGATTTGGCAACTGATTGGAAATGGGGAACAAGAGAGGTCTTTATTGCTAGGTTACCACAGTAACTCTCTCTCATCTTGCATAGTTGTATCTCTTACCTTTTCTGAAATTTCTGGTAGAAAGGGAGTGTTCTATTTCTAGAGTACTGAATTAATAATGAATGGGGTCCTAAATTTATGGGATTGTAAAGAATTGGGGGCTGCTATACAGAGCAAATCTGTAGTTCAGTAGAGTTACAGTTGGGGTGGCTTTGTGGCCAGAGGCACCCTTTAAGTTTAAAACTTATTAACAGTTGATTGTGATATGAGTAATTCAGCATCCACTTGTCTAATCATATGTAACATAGATTACTCACTTTTTAAATGGTTGACATTGTAATTTAGAGGTACTAATTTGCTCATGAGAGGAGGATTGCCAGTGAAATCATCCTTCTCTAAATTTTTCTCTACCTGGATGAATGTTTGAATTTCTTTTTTGAAGGGCTTAGAAATGGGAATAGTTGACAAATGCTTTCTTCAAATCAAGTTTATCCGTTTCTACCCATAGATACAAGATTTCCATTTCTAAATCACCTTTGCATTTTGCAAGAGGCCCTCTGTAAATAGAACTTGAAACTTTGATATGTAGTATTGTTAGAACATTCTATGGCATTTGTTTCCAAGATTCTCATGAGCTAAACTTGTAAAACTTGGCACTTAGTTGGCAGAGGCAAAATGGAATGTCAAGTTTAGCTTTATTATTTTAGAAGGTACATTTATTCAGTATATAGTGCATGATAAAATATCTGTAAAAGTAGATGTTTTAAGTTTTCCTGCTTTTTTTCCTGTGAAGAGAAGAGTTCTGTAAGTGTAGTCAGGATAACCTGGGTTCAAATCAATCAATCAACAACATTTATTAAACATCTACAATGTGCCAGGCATCATGCTAAGCTAGGGGATACAAATACAAAGAATTATATTCTACTGCTTACAGCAGTGTGACCATGAGCAAGTTACTTAAACGATTTGCACCTCTTTCCTTTGTAAAATGGTCATAAATATCTCATAGGGTTGTTATGAGAAGCAGATGGGATGTAAAGGATTTCACAAAGCTTAAAGCACTGTGTAAAGGTTAGCTCTTGTTACATACTGTTTTAATGAGAACTTGAAAGTGTCCGGCTTTGAAATGAGTATATATAAGTATACATAGTGGCTTGGTTGCAGCAAAACTCATTGGAAAAAATTGACATCAGATTTTTATGATACTATTAAAGTATTCTTGGGAAATTTTTCAAAGTCAAACTCATGTTAAAAATTAGACTGACAGAAGAAATCTTATGAGTAAGGGAGAAATTTAAATAAGAGGGAAACTAAATCTTATTTTCCCATTAATTTTATTTTAATTTCAGGAATTCTTTATGTTTATTTCCAGCTGAACATTAGTTAGCTAGCGCTCCCAACACTTTCACTTCAAATAACCAGCTGTGTGACCTCTGGAAAAATCACTTCCTGTCTTTGGGCCTCACTTTTTTCCTCAGCAAAATGAAGGACTTTCTAGATGCTCTCCAAAGTTTCTTCCAATTATAAAATTCCATTAAATTGTTGTGTTTCTCTGATCTGGAGTCTCTTTGTTAAATAGTAACTTATAAATCAATACTTAAAGAAACATGGTTTATTGGGTTTACTTATAATGGAGTATATCTATACTGAGAGTATTTATGTTTTTAAAAAATGTTTCCATTTCTTTTTAATTTAGCATGCTTTAAAAAAGTTTTTCATACTCTATGGGTATCCAATAAATTCTTGGTTGATTGGTATGAATTGAGTAGATTAATACTGTAACTGGTTTCTTCAGGTTACTTTTACAGATATCATTACAAAGAAACAGTAGAATTACTAGAAGAATTGTTATTTTTGTTATTGTTAAAATTTTCAGTAATAAAATGAATTAATATATGATCATGGAGTATTTGCATTTCTTATATTCATATATTAGAAAGGTCCTGGCCAGAGCCATGGAATAAAGCATGCTTGTAACATAAGTAAAATCTTATCTCATTGATAAACCAGCTTTTCTGGCCATTATTTTTAGGAGAAAAAGTTTTATTGGCATGGTTAGGTATAGTTTTTCTTCTATATTGTGCCCCATTTGTGAAAGTCTAGTACTATAAAATAAATCGCAACATCTGGAGAAATTGAGGAAGGCATCCAGCATGTTGGCTGGATTTTGGGGGGTGAATTCAAGGGAGTAAGTACATAGATAAGATTTGTACAGGAATGTATTGTAATTTGTATCATTAGAGGGAATATCGAAATTCAT